TGACAGAGATACAGATATGGATCTGATAAGGATATAGGTAACAGTGTTCAACTGGGTTAAAGAGAACTCAAAGACAGTTCACCTACTCCATTGCAAGCAGTTGCTTCTCAAGCTCTTCAGAAAATTGCAGAGGAAAATTAATTTGACTTTTTTTCTTTATCACGCTGCGAAATAGTTGAGTGGCCAGCAGATGCCACTGTTGTCAGTTGTAAATAATTTTCCACATTTCAAATAAAGGAGGTGAGTCATTACAGAAGGAAATAGGATAAGTGTAACAAAAATAATCATGTTATCTTAAAAAAATGTAACAAAAGTAATGCATAATTGGATCTTATTATTTACCTTTAAGCAAAACATTTAATTAGACACTTGTCAGCTAAAAGATATGAGCAAACTCGTTAGAAAAAAATTAACAAGGAAAACTGTAAGTCTTCTATGTTTGAAAAGAATAATCATGTTTAAAAATTAGAAGTTGCTGCAATCAACAATGTTGACTAATAGCTATATTTAATAGCCAATATATAGCCTACCTGATGAGTGACATCAAGGAAGAGTAAAATAAAACATCAATTCTATTCTTTTTTGTTACTATTGAGACATTATAAAAATAGTTTTGTATTTCTCAAGCCTACATTCAATGGTAAATAAGCTGTTACTACAAAATTGACTGTTAATTATGTTACTCTCTTATATTTCCATCAATATTCATAGTGTTAAGTATTTTTTAAATAATTTAAAATATATAAATTAAAGCAGACCTACATGGCCTATTCCATTAGAAAAAATATGATGGCTATTGTTTACTTCTAGTCTGGCCTCCCAAATTCCACAGTGGAACATGATTGATCACTCCTGGAATCCCTGTATCTTCCTGAACATATTTTTGGGATGACTCTTCACGTTTTTTAAAATGTCAATCCTACCAAAAATCTGTAAATTATAGTTCAAATAGATTTTTTCATATATTTTCATGTGGATTTGAATTGCTGCATATTTTAATTAATTGACAAAAAATATTAAATCTATGCTGTAGTCAACACTCTGATAGCTGCTGTGAGGGATTCAGAAGAGAATAAACATAGTTTCTGTTCTTAAGCAAATAATACAGTAGAATAAAAAGAAAGGTTTTATGTCTGGACATAAATGTACTATGCTAAATGTTTCTGCTGTTACATAAAATGATGTGTAAAATGGTGAGGTTTCATAAGATTGTTGTAAAGATTAAATTAGATAAGGAGTAAAGTATCCATATCTAATTTAATCTCTCAATATCAGGCACAAAATAGTGGCTAAGCCAGTGTCAGTTTTCACTGAAATAACTGTCTTGGAGAGCAGATAGAGTGAGTGTTCAAAACCCTAATCAAATACTAAGTATAAATAATAAGTGATGTAAGAAAGGAATAGAATACATGAGAAATTAAAAATAAAGTGTTCCTGGCAGAATGGCCCACAAAAATCTTGATGGAAGAGGTCATATTGAGCTAATACTTGAGAGAAATGTAAGCATTTAAAGTGTAGAATAATGTGAAATAATCTTATGTAAGGTAGAGAAAGTGTGGGATAGGATAGGTTAATCTCTGGGGCAAACATTAAAAAAATAAAACAAAGAAGCCAACATAAAAAGAGAATATAAAATTGAATACAAAATAAACAACTCAAAAGAAGGCAGAAAAAGAGGAACAATGGAAGAAAGAATGTATGAGACAAATAAAAGACAAATAACAAGAAGGTAGACTTAAATCCAACCATATTGCATTAATTGTAAATGGTCTTAAATTCTTCAAGAAAAAAACAGATTGTCGAACTGGATTGAAAAATGAAAAAACACAGAACAATTCTATGCTATTTATAAAAGAAAATTTAAAGATATATGTTGGTTAAAAATAAAGGATGGCAAAAGATATATCATGCAAACACTAATTAAAAGAAAGTTGAGATAGTTTTTTTAATACCAATGTAAACTTTAAGGCAATAAGTATCACTAGAGATATAGCAATATTTCATAAAGAGGGTCAATTCATTGAAAGGACATAACACTCATAAACATGTATGTACCTAATAACAGAGTTTCTAAATTCATGAAAAAATCCGGCAGAATTAAAAGGAGAAATAGACAAATTCACAATTGTAGTTGAAGAATTTAACATTTGTAAGACTAATAGAATATTAATATTAACATCCTATTAATATAATAGAATAATTTAATCAATAAGTGATCATTTTCAGTAATATAATTTTTAAAAATTGACTACAATTAGAAAAATATCTCAATATATAATATAATATATAATAACTGACACTACAGTTATTATATATTAATACTCTACAGTTATAACACTACTATAATAACTGACACTAAAATTAGAAAAACTGTATCTCTCAGTAATTGATACTGCAATTAGAAAAAAGATACAGAAAATATTTGAATAATATGAAAAACTAACAACATAATTTACTTACATAAAACCTATACAAAATTACTGCAGAATACACATTATCTTCAAGTGCACATAAATATGTACCATGATAGACAATACTTTCAGCTATTGTCATAATATTTCATGGAACTCTCCCTCTCCCTTGACAAACGCTATTCAGACATCAAAAGGAAAAGAACTCAAATTATATAACTGTGCTTGGCAATTAGGAATTCATTTGTGATTTTAGTGAAAGTAGTATTGATGAAATGTTGAGGGCTGGAAACCACGTTATAATGGACCAACGCTTGAATGAATGGTAAAGATGAAGAGATCATGAGGATAGCTGTTTTTCTTAGGAAGGTTGACAGTGAAAGTAAGAGAGAGTGAATAGGGGTGGCAGAGGAGGACATATTTTTGTTTTAAAATATAAGAGAGGTGAACACGGTTTTGGGATGAAAAAAAGGAGCCAGTAGAGAGAGAAAGGAAAAGGAGAGAGAATAATCTGCGGAGAAAGGTCCTGGGTAATTCAGAGTGGGAGGAAATCAAGAGCAGATATGATATGATCAGGGAAATCTTTTACCGTTAAGGAGTAGGAAAAATAGATAAAATAGATGTAGAGAGTGCTTCACTTTAAATGATAAGCAGGTATAGAAAATTACTATACACTGCATAGTAATATTTGTAACTAAGGTACAGTGCAAAAAGCATGCTTTGTGATAAGAGATTCTCAAATGTTTTAAATCACATTCACATAAAACTGCTTGACTCCCTTATATGTTTGTTTCTTTCCTTTTTTGTTTTTTTTTAATTGGGGGGTGGAGTTTAGAGGGTGGGGAAAGGCAGGAAAGGTGGAGGACAGGAGAGGTAAAGTGAACAAAAAATAAATAAGCAATTCTCAGAAAAAGGAACCTAATAGCAAAAAATACATGAAAGGATCTTCATCCAACCTAGTAATTAAATAAATATAAATTCAAACAATGAAATACTATGCTCTGCCCCATAAGATCAGAAAAAATTTCATAGGTCACTGAGGATGTGGATACTCTAAAATTTTTACACCCTGCCAGTGGTCATTTAAATTGATTTAACCCCTTTAGAAAGTAGTAATCTGGCAATTTCTAGGGAAGTTTAAGATGGATGGATGAAACATATTATTGTTCAAAAGGATCTACTCCCTCCCTTGGGAGAGGATTGTGAGTCCTCACTCATTTCCATATGTCTGGCCATCCTGCACTGTAGAGGTAGTATATTTCCCTGCCCCATTGACTAGGATTTGGTCATGTGATTTAATTTGACCAATTGAATATGAGTATACATGGGTACCCCTTCTATGAACAGGAGCTTTTGAAGTCATTGCAAATTTTTGTCAGCCTCCTGCCCATTATTTCCATGAGAAGGGTATACACTGGACAGGAGCTGTTTCCATCCCAGCTGCAACAATTTGAATAAAATCTTTTTAGAATTTCTGAAGTGATTTTAGAGTTATAGACTTTTTGGTGAAGAATTTTTTTTTAACCTGTAAGGGAAATGAAAACAAAGTCCTAATATATCACACAAATATGTTTATTACTTAAATGTTTATAAATTATAAGATTTTACTTATGAATAAAAACATTTCTAGAAAATGTTACACATTTTGTAATAATATTTGTAACTGGTTTCAGGCACATAGTGCAAAATACTTCTTTTCTGATACAGAGATCCCTAAATGTTTATCTAACCACATTGGCACAAAATTGCTTTAGTACCTTATATGGTACAATATACCCCTAATAAATCTTTGAAAAAGAAAAACTTTGTGGGTAAAACTAGTATACTACTATTTACTGGCAAAAATCTATTAGTAGATTCAGTTTTCTTGGTTTATAAAGTAGGTTGCCATAGAAAAATATTATTTGTCTATGATTCTTTTAAAATCACATTATTATATAATACACAAATTATTCACCTGAAAAAAATCTCTTAATACCTGAGAATTTGTCCATGAATAGTTAATTTTTATACTATCTTTTATGTTCTGGCTTTGAAACACCTCAGATATGAAATAACTTGAACATCTCTAATAAAAATTTTGCAAATGTAAACATAATTTTATGTTTACCAAAATAGGATCTTCAACATGTCAATAATTTTTACTTTTCTACTTGATTAATAAAATACAGCACTTAACTGTGAGAAAATTATTTTTTTAAGAGTAGACATATACATATATAAGATCTATAAAGACATGATAGAATATACACATTATCAAAACAATGTATTGCTCTTATAAGTACAATCAAATTAGAGGTAGGTGTTTTAAGTCAAATTCTACTATATCATATCTTCTTCTGTATTATTCCCACAAAATTTCGTATTTAGTATTTAACCAAAGCATATGTTTTAAATACAAAATTATACCATAATTTAGGATGATTTTTTTCAAGCACCATAATGCACAATTAAAAATTAAAGGAAACATAAAACAAGGTATCTAAGCTGTATCAGTAGAAAGTATAATGGCTATGTACTTTTTTGATGTGACTATTGATTTGCTATTCACCTGACAGATTCAATATGTTTATGGCAATTTTAAATAAGTTCATTTTCCTAATTTTTACTTGCTCCATTTTAACAAGTAGAATAAACATTCATTGTACAGTAGGATACCAGAGCAGAGATTTACATGTGTGTTTATAGGCATAAGGTAATTGTGGTCCAGTCCAAGCTGTTAACAGCAATATTATCTTGGTGTAATTCAAGCATCCCTGTATACCCTACCATAAATTACTATATCCTTTTAAGGATCCAGATTAGAATCACATATCGTTCAGTTTATTTTGAAGGCCTTGAAAAATTAAGCAGTGATGTGACTCCCTGATGAGTGCCCTGAAAAAAAGCCACAGACATTTTAGACATGGAAATCTCAGGAAGGGAAGGATAAGAAACAAGCACCAGCTATTTGCAGGTTCCAGAGAATGTCTCCTCTTTGGGACACACTTCCCACTTTTGAATGTTCATATTACTTGAATTGGGAGACCAGTAGTCATGTGAGGAATACACTTTCCACAGAACCCTCCACATCTGCCGTAGACTTTGGTTCCATCCTGAAAATAGGAAGAGGCAGAGATACAGGAGAATCTGTTACAAGCTAGTATCTGCGTGCACAGGGCAGAAGAAGCAAATGCTTTGAATCATGCGGTTGAAATAATTAGCCAAGGTTTCATACAACAATTACACTTGAGGTCAAAGGTCGTGCCATTTCAGGATTAGTTGAAATTTGTGGTCATGGGAATTAGATAATGTGAGATTCATATTATCTACTTAATGATTATAAACCACACTCTAATTTAGACAATTCATCTCAGCCCACTTATTTTTCAGCAAGATATCTATTTCCTTCAGTGAGCTTATTAAAACCTCTCCCAATCTATTGTCCAGCATTGCCATGATTTTATATAAGATTCTCACAGACTAAAAAAAATAAAGATATTATGCAAACTTGACCTTAACTGAATCCAAGCCATATTAACCTCAAATATCTACTGGAAGCATTAGAAACACAGCCTGAAGAAAATATTTAGAAGGTGATAAAATGGGGGGGGGCAGGGAATAAAACTGGACTGAAAGCAGGAATTATAATTAGACAAGGACTAAAAATGAAGATTCTTCTTTTTTTTAGGAAAGCAGAGCTGCTTACTGAGGAATGGGTGGGCAGAGGCTGGCGAAGAAGGTGGTCAGGACATGCTAGATTTTCTTTCCAAACTGTTTTCCATCTTTAAGTCCAAAAGTCAAAAGGCATTTTGATAGGATAAAGCAAAAATAGCTTGAACTCCTGTAGTTTCTAGAAAAGGTAAGTTTTGCTTTGTTTTTGTTTTTTTAATCTAAGGAGGGAGGGTAGAGAAGGAAACTTTGGGTTCCTGGAACTTTTGAGGATGAAGAATATTTTGAGATCGGGGGCCTTTGAAGTTGCCTCTCCTTTCAGAAGCTTTCTAAACTCTAGAGAGTCTGAGTAAACAGAGAAAGGAATAGCAGTAAAAATTCCAATTTATATACATTCCTGTTCGCAAATGGATCGTATAAGTAAACCCCTAATCTTGCTTAAATTTAATGGGAAATGAAAATATGTGTGCATTTCCATAAGTACACTTGGGTTTCACAAGTCTCATTTTCACACCAGGCAACAGATCTCAGGAAATACCTTCATGTGCAAAATTTTTGATTGAGGGAGAAACTCTCAATTAAATAAACAAATAAATAATCTTTAGAATAGAACTTAAATAGAAGCAAAAGTAATGATTGTACTAAATATTCATTTTTACTGCTGCCCTCAGCCAGGTCTCATTTAACCAAAAGATACCTAAAAGCTGGACGAAGTCAGAATATCTCATTGCACTCTCTAAATTTTCTACTTGCTCAGAATATACTTTAACTAGGTAATTAACTTATTTCCATTCTTCTACCAAAAGGGATTAGACCAAAATTTTCCAAATAAATATTTAGAAATAGCCATTTTTAAAAAGCCTACTGCTTGCACATATGATAGAAATAATAAAAATTTAAATTCTTTAATTATAAATTGAAACACAATTTCATAATATTCAGAAATATAATGTTTTAGTCTGTGATTATTAGAAAATTGAATTTCATTTATAAGTAGTATTCATATAAATAGGAGTGTAACAGAAGTCACTTTTATCAAAAGAAAGAAAAATGATAAAACCTTAGAGTGGGCAGGGGGTTGTTGACGGTGCTGATTTATGTGCAATATAGGTAAGGACAATTATAATGTAGACCCTGATTTACTATAGATAGAATCATGTTATCTAAGACGTGGGAAACTCCAAGTACTAGGAGCCATCTCATAAAGAGTATGTGCTAGTACACCATACCAGCATCAAAATTAAATGGATTCTACTTTAGATAATACATGTGCTATAGGTAAAAACCAAATACCAATGTTCTCTAGATAAAGGTGGACAGAGGAAAATATGCATACAACCATAAAAAATATTCCTAATTCTTGAAGAACCTATAAAGGATATTTGTTAAATGACAAATGGCTCCAACCTCAGCTCCATCACTAAATCAAAGTAGTGAGGTAAATAAACCAAAAAGTTACCACTTACCTTGAAATATTAAAACCTACAAACCTTTAATAATTAGAGTATAATAAAAGCACTACCTCTTTTTGAAAGTACCTGCATTTCAAGCCATCAACCCCAAACTTGAGCCACTTCAATCTATATGCTCTGGCGTTTGATTTCATGTTCAGATATCTACAGGCTAAACATGAATGTGTATGTATAAAAAACCTACATAAGCACATGAATAAAAATGAACCCAATTCCATAAATTAATGTTCTATTTCATTATATGTAATATAGCCCATCATATGCAATAATGCATTAGTCATTAACTTCATATAACTCTAAATTTAAAGTCGAGGACCTTTAATGCTAGTTCACAGCACAGAAGTATTTCAGACAGGTTTTTTTTTTTTGTCCAGCAGGACTTACTTGTGATCTGTGAATGATGACAGAGGCATAACTGCCCTGAGCAAGCCACTTTGCTGTACTGGATATCTTCATCCCAGTTCCAGCCAAATTAATGCTGAATTGTCCCTGGATTGAAAACAAAACAAAATAAAAATAGATAGAATTCATAAAATATTTAAGCACCCACTTGGCTGGAAACACCTGAATTGGAATTATATAAGAAAGGACTCGAATTGGTTTTCAAGATTCTTTCTTTAGAAAATGAAAGAATATTGATACAACCTTACACTAAAGAAAATGAACAGGCTAAAGACTTTTTAAATTGATTACAGGGCTTCCCTGGTGGTGCAGTGGTTGAGAGTCCGCCTGCCGATGCAGGGGACACGGGTTCGTGCCCCAGTCCGGGAAGATCCCACATGCCGCGGAGCGGCTGGGCCCATGAGTCATGGCCGCTGAGCCTGCACGTCCGGAGCCTGTGCTCCACAACGGGAGAGGCCACAACAGTGAGAGGCCCGCGTACCAGAAAAAACAAAAAAAAAAATTGATTACAAATAAGTCTTCTCAATTACAAGAGACAACTGAAATAATACCAGATAATGTTATTTGTGCAAAAGTAATTCTGTCCAACACTAGGACTCTCGGGTTGACAGCTAGAGCTTATGCTCCTGTAGCAACAGCAAGTCCAGTTAGAATGGGTGTTCACAGGGATTGATACCAACCAGACTTTAACTTTTCTTCAGTTTCAATTTTTGACCCCTCGTTGCTAATTTCCCTAAGTTACACCTGTTTAATGTATTTCCTAGAATCTTCTGTTACTGTGCCCTTACCTTTTGTGTTAAGAATGTTACTTTTTAACTTACCACACAAAACTACTGAATGTGATATTATTGCCCCAGCTATTATGTGCTTTTAAGTACCCAGAAGTGTTACGTGGACGTCTGATGCCACATGATTTACACACATGGTATGTGAGCCCCCTAGTGGCTTTATGATCAAATTATTTTCAAGACACAAGAACCAGTTTCATGTCAAAATATTCCAGACTATCTCTGCTAAAAATTAAACTTTAGGGCTTCTCTGGCGGCGCAGTGGTTGAGAATCCGCCTGCCAGTGCAGGGGACACGGGTTCAATCCCTGGTCAGAGAAGATTCCACATGCGGCGGAGCAACTAAGCCTGTGTGCCACAACTACTGAGCCTGCACGCTAGAGCCTGTGCACTGCAGCAAGAGAAGCCACCACAATGAGAAGCCCATATGCAGCAGCGAAGACCCAACACAGCCAAAAATAAATAAATAAAATAAATAAGTTTATTAAAAAAAGAAAAAACTTTAAATACCAATTTTAGACAGGCACATGGTAAATTGGTAAAATTTGTGGCACATGTATACGATCTTGCAGTACAGAACTATACACTGAAAAGCTGAAGTACTTAATGGAAGCTAATTAAGCCTACTGCCAATGTTTAATATACATACAGATTTAGAGTGATATTAGGACGATCTTAGATCACATCACAATATCCTATGGCCTAAGACTCAGGAATCTTGAGCAAGGCAGTGATAAAACATTAAAGATTATGTTATGTCAATGAAAATATTATCTTGTCATGAAAGAAAACTAAATAGATTTCAAATATATTTATAATATGAGTTATTACAACTGCTAAAAATTATGTATCAGTTTAGTTTATTAAGTTAGATTTCTTAGGAATCTTATATACTTCTTATTTAAAATCAAAATAGAGATTCAAATACATTTATAATACAATGATAATATATGGAGAATTTCCCCCCAAACAGAAATAATTTGTTTTAGATAAATTTCAAAGAAAATTAATTGTTATATACATCATTTGGTTATGAAATTTAGAATATGACCTGTATGTTTGCTTCATTGATGTATTCCTAGAGTCCAAAAGAAGGCCTAGGCACTCAGTAAGTGTTTTTAAATAGATGAATTAAGTGCAACATTATAAATATTAAATTTTAGCATTGTAAAAGTTAATACACAAATACACAGTTAAACCCTTCATGCTCGTGATAATGAATGACACTAATGCTAGACACATCAGAATTTTATATTAGTAAATATTTGAATGAGAAGAAGTAATTCTAAGGATATATCCTACTGGTTAATACTTAGTCATCTGATACAGGTTTTGCACTGAATACCTTTATCCCACCTTAACTCATAAATAGGCTTCTCACCAAATAAAAGAAATGGAACTATGTTCTGTGGTGTAGGTTTCCTGTGACTAACCACTTACTGAGTGCCCCAGTTGGGGGAATGCAATGTTTTCACAACCTAATAGTCTACACTTCCATTTATTCTTTACCTCCCTCCTCAAGGTTGCTTGGAAGCATTCAGCTGGAAAGGAAAGACAAAAATCCAACTGACTACAGTACTGAGAGACTTAGGTGGTCATTAACACAATGAGTTGGGTCTAGAAATATCTGCTGCTTCATTTCTCCAGACTAATTTTCATGATCTTTGTTTACATCTTTAGTCCTTGTTCAAAAGCTACATAATACAATCTCAAAGAAATGGCAAAACAATTCAACTGAACTCTGGGATGATATTGACAGAGGTAAAAATACACTTCACTCATTTGTTCTAAATTAACTGAGTGGCAGACTTGGTATGAAGCACTATTGCAATACAGAGAGAGGTTTTGCTCTATGTTTGAGAAGTGAAGCACAGATTGGTGGTTGCCAGAGGTAGGAGTTGGAGGGGGAAATGGTTGAGGGTGTTTTACAAGATAAATAAATCCTGGGGATTAATGTGCAATATGGTAACTATAGTTAAGTAAACTGTATTGTATATTTGAAAGTGGCTAAGAGAATAGATCTTAAAAGTTCTCATCACAAGAAAGAAAAAATTGTAACTATGTGAGGTGATGGATGTTAACTAAAACCATTGTGGTAATAATTTTTCAATATATACATAGTCAAATAATTATGTTGTACACCTTAAACTAATACAATGTTTAATGACAATTACATTTTAATAAAATGGAGGAAACTAAATCTGATATACACATAAATAAATGTGATGCAATGTAGAGAATTATAGGTGCCATAAGAAAGGTACTGGTACATTCCTATGGAACTTTGGAAGTAATAAATGATTGAATAATTGTATTAATTACTTATTTCAATTCCATTACTTTATTTAAGATTAAAATTTAAACCTCCTTAAACCTAATATTTAACTTGAAAAATTAGTTTAATATAGTATCAACTAAAAAATATGTTTTTTTGAAGTAGTATGAAGTTTATCTCCTCTTGTACTCTCAACATTTTTTAGAAGAGGCCATCATAAGAAGTAAAATTCTAACAGCCAGATCACAAGTAGAAGGTAAGGTGATTCAGAAGACCTAAGAATTCAACAGATTGGAATGTCTGCCCTTGAGTAATTAGCTGCATCAAAGGAAAAAGTAGTTATGGATACAAGGCAGAGGGAAAGCACAGAAATAGATGCAAGTTTTAATGTTCCACTTCTTTGATTGACTGGTTGGTTCATATGTGCCCATTATATCATTAGGTTTTACAATTTTAAAGTTTGTTCCACATATTTTATTATGAATGGGATCTATAGATCTAATGCAATTCCAATAAGAGAACTGATTCTAAAATTTGTATTGAAAGACAAAGAAATTAAAATAATTAAAACAAGTTTGAAGAAAAATAAATTTGAAGGACCCACACTACCTTGTTTTAACACTTATTATAATAAAGCTATCATAACCAAGACAGTGCTGTGTTGGTGAAGAAAGAGACATGTAGATCAATGGAACAGAAGACAGAGTCAGAAATAGACCCACATAAATATGTGCAATACATATATATATATATATATATATTTTTTTTTTTTTTTTTTTTTTTTTTTTTGCCTCACCACATGGCATATGGGATCTTAGTTCCCCGACCAGGAATCGAAGCCATGCCCCTGCATTGGAAGTATAGATTCTTAACCACTGGACCACCAGAAAAGTCCCCTCCAATTGATTTTTGACAAAGGCGGAAGGAAATTTACTGGAGAAAGCACTGTCTTTTCAACAAATGGTGTTAGGACAACTGGATGTCTATAGGCAAAACCCTTCTAACTTCATAAAAATTAGTTCAAAATCAGTCATAGGTCTAGATGTAAAGCATAGAACTATAAAAAAAAATTTAAGAACACATAGAAGAAAATCTTTGTAACCTGGAGTAAGTCAAAGGCTCTTAAATATGACACTAAATGTACAACCCACAAAGGAAAAAAATGATAAATTTGACTTCATTAAAATTTAAAACGTCCACTCTGTGTAAGACAATTAAGAGAAAGAAAAGATAAGGTCCAGACCAGGAGAAAAAAGACTTGGAAATGTTATATACAACAAAAGACTTGTATCCAGACTATGTAAAGAACCCTCAAAACTAAACAGTAAGGAACAATAAGGAAACAAACAACCTAATTTTAAAAATGAGCAAAAGACTTGGGCATACACTTCACCAAAGAGTATATACAGATGGCAAATAAGCATATGAAAGATACTTAACATTATTATCCATTAGTGGAATGTAAATTAAAACTACATTGAGCTACCACAGAAAATGGGAAAACAAAAAAACTTGACAATACTAAGTGCTGACAAGGAAGGTAATCAACTAGAAATTTAATCTTTGCTGGTGGGAATAAAAAACGGTAGAGCCACTGTATCAAACAGTTTAGCAGTTTCCTATAAAGTTAAACGTACACATATCATGTGATCCTACAATCTCACTCATAGGCATTTATCCCAGAGAAATGAAAATGTACATTCACACAAAAACCTATATGCAAATGTGCATCTCAGCTCTATTCATAATCTCCAAAAGCTATAAACAACTCATTTTCTTCCAACAAATGAACAAACTGTAGGACAGCTGTATGATATCCATTTGATGGAATAATGCTCAGCAATAAGGAAGAAAAAATTATTGACACATGCAAAACCACAGATGGACCTCAAAGGCATTATGTTGAGTGAAGGAAGTCAATTTCAAAAGGTTACATATTGTGTGATTCCATTTATAACACATATCTATGTCATCCCCGAAAATGCAAAACTAAAGCAACAGAAAAAAGATCAGTGTGTATCAGAA